GTTTGGGTGAGCTATGATATAATTTAGCATTGATGTTTCTTGCTTTTGGAGTTTTTGCTGGCAAATCAGGCATCCAACACCAACATTTCCTCATGTTTTTCCGCTTCCTTTGTTGGGAAGAAGCTGAAAAAAGCAGTGTTGCTACATTTTTTGGCAAATTCACTTTTTGGACTTGGCAACTAAAGATTATGTCATTTGCTTTGTTTTCCAAAAGCAGAATTTTATTTCCACTTCCACTGTCTTTGGGGATGATTGGAGGGGAGAGTGGAGGAATTAATTAATTTATCATTATACACTCTGTATTTGAGTTTTTATGAACAAATGATACAATATGATAGGTGATCACATAACACTTCAACCATTCTTTATTATACATGTATTTTTAAAATATTTTACTTTTCAAGATATATACAAAAACTGCCTCACAAAAAATGTGGAACTTCAACACTGCCTTATCTTAAAGTAAGTGTGGAGCTTAGCTCAACCTTAAGAGTTGGTGTGTTTCTTTAAAATCAACGTGTAACGTTATCTTACGAAAAATATTATGATTGTGATAATATTTTTGAAAAACACAATGGTTTTAAATTTCAATAATTTTCAGCATTAATTCACCCATTAGGTTCATTGTTACCAAAAAAAATACTTCCTCCGTTTCTTAAAATCATTACTCTTTCAATTTTTTTGTTTTTCTTAAAACACTTCCCTTTTCTATTAAAAAACCACTTTTATTCCTACTTTTGCATACTCTACCTATCACATCATACTTTTTCACTAATAACTAAACTATCACATCTTACTTTTACCCATCACATCAGGGGCAAAATTGAAAAGTCAACTAAAATTACATTTTCATTATTTCTCCCCAAAGTCAAAACAGGAACCGTTTTGAGAAACGGAGGGGATACCAGTATTTGAGAATACTTACTTCATTTTTGGTGTGCCCAAAAAAATTACTCCAATCTTTAAATTGTTTTACACTTTGATTCGACTTGATTCTTTTTTAAAAATGTTTTCGCATATCATGAGGCCGGTGTATCTCAAAAGATCCCACAATAAATAATTACTCAATACTACTTTTTTGGGATTTTGAGATGTGAACAATTAATGAATAATATTTAGGGGAAAAACAAGAAAACATATAAGATTTATAAAATTTGATATAATAAATTTAATAAAACCATTTATGTAAAAAATTTAGATTTAATCAATACATTTATAGGCTCGATTCCAATTTTGTATCCCATTAAATTTAGTTATCATACTCTGTTTGTGTTGTATCATTCATTAAAATTCTAACATTGTCTATTATATTTAGCTTCATTTTTTAATTATGTACTTAAAATAAACATTTAAAAGAATTAAAAATAACATGTGTTCGACCCCGTGCTTGAACGGGTTAAATACTAGTCATTGTAAAATTCACGAGATTTTGCACGTCGCTCGAATAACAAATATACTTTGAAATGGAGAAAGTATAAAATAAGGGATGATTGAACTATAAAAGTATTTTACCTTACCATTTTCCTAAGGTGTAACGGAATATTTATAAATTTATATTGTGTAAGTATTCACTATATCGTTTCTTTAAATATTAAATTTGAGAGTGAATCTCCTAAAATTGCGACAAGTGGTGAATCTACATGGCAACATTTTAACAAATTACGTGCCACCTATTAACGGTTGAATGATGTGACAATTTTAATCAAAATATGGGTATATCTAATTTGCATGTCTTATGTAGAGTGTCTCTATAACTTTTTGTGAAAAAATACTTGGTATCAGAATAGGAATAAACATTGAGAAAATATCAAAATAAAAATACATATTTTTTATCTCTAAAATAGGAGCTACCAAACATTAAGTGATTCCTTAATTTCAAAATGAAGTTATTAGCAATGCATTTCTATCGAAATACAATGTTTGTTATATACATCGAGATTAAAGTATACAAAATTAACAAGAAAAGTCAACTGAGAAGATCAAATCTAAACAGAGAGGGAGTATATATCAAAAGACAATGTTTGTTTTATATATCAAGGTGTGGAAGGGACCGTGAAAAGATTTGTGACAATGAAGATTTAGAAAAATAAAAAAACTAAGAAAAATTGTGCAGAAAATCCAAGGTGCAATAAGTAGTAAGTTTGAGACTCAGTTACACTTACAGGTTACAACCACCTCAAAGAAAATACAATTTCTAATTTGTAACTATTTATATTCTCCGACAAAATCATTAGAGCACTAATATTTTAATGTTTTTTAAAATCAATATGGGGGAGAAGAATAATTGATTCTTAATATTTTTAAAATTAAAATATTTAATCATAGAGATTCAGGATCACTAATTTAAAATAGTGTTTTTTAATAATGGAAGAAAGAATAATAATCTTTTATAATCGTTGCGATGGGGGGGTGGAGTTGGGATTATGGATGAGAAGAATCCTATTTTTTTAATTTCTACCTATGTCCCTGAATATTTATTCAGTTTGATTTTTTCCGATTAACTGTTTTTAATATTTGACTTATAATTAAATAAAATATGTGTTATATATTAAGTAGATAAAATAATATTTTGAAATTGAATGATATAATAAATCAAATAAAACTAATTTTGTATCAATATCCAATATCATTTTTTGTTTAATTTAAAGTCAAAATTAATCAATTTTGACCAAAAAAAGACAAAAGTGGATAAATACTCAAAAACAGAGGGAGTATATAATTATAAGATCGGTAATTTATGTTTTTTTAAATAAATGTGAGGAAAAAGAATCATTGAATCACTACTACTTTTTATATTAATAAATTTTTGAATTTATACAGGAGAAAAATTATAGATTTATATAAATACGTCAAACCTAGATCATTTATAAATAAAAATCAAGATCCACATTCTAGAATCGAAAAAAGTTTGTCCGAACCCATGCGTGGCCAGGGTAGAAATACTTGTATATATGTAAAGTTAAGTTAGTTTGTTGTAGTGTTGACATGTACTCCGTAGTATGTTGGCTTTTACTTCGGTGCCATTTCAGATTTGAGTGTTATGACACTCCACATGTAGCATGTCACACATGCATCCACATAAGCACCCATTTATGAGGTGGGTGCATTTCATTGGTCCAATTAGTATTTCTTATAGCTCTTTTAATACAATTGTATAAAACTTTTTCATTTTTTAACAATTTTATAAACATACATTTCACTATTGTAAAAGATACTCCGTGTAATATATATATATATATATATATATATATATATATATATATATATATATATATATATATATATATATATATATATATATATATGACACACATAAATATATATAGGATTATTTTTATACTATTCACTATTTATTTTAGTTTATTAATTACCTTCTAAGAAATGATTATATAAATTTAATCATATGTGCATATTTATGAATTAAATACTTTGCTTCAAAACTTTTATCTTTTTACATTATTTATTTTATTACTACATAGATTTTCAACAAAGTAAATCGAATAAAGTTGGTTTAATCGAAAGGTGACAAGTGCATTATGCCACATTGTGCCCTATTTTATATTTTTAGAATGCTTTTGCTTTAAAATTATTAACAAATTTAAAAATATAGTGCCCTAAATTTTAAGAGTCCATGTGCGGTTGGCCACTTTGCACACCCTCCGAGCCACATATAACTAAAACCATTTCATTAGTACTAGCTTAATTCAATGACAATTTTGTATAATACTTTTCGTTTTTAAGTTAATATACTAATATATATTCCACCAGTTTAAAACATATTTTATCATTATTAGAAAACTAAAATTAAAAAATATATTTATAGATAGTCAAAATGTTACAATGTATGCGAAGCACGGGGTTAACACTAGTCTGAATTCTATAATATTATAAGAATAATCATTAAAGAGATGTGAAAAATTATTTTTGGCACAATTAATGAATTAGGAAACAAAGTCATAGAGTTTATGTTATGTTTCTTTATGATTATACCTTTCAAGGAATATAACTTTCAATAGTTTATGTTTCTTTATGATTATAAATAAAGTGAAGGCTAAACATGGTCATTTATGAGATTATTTTTTACCAACTTGGTATTCTCTTATGGTTAATTTTATATTATTGTTTTGCGAGTAAGAGTAATTTGAAAAATGATGTAGCGAACAAAAATTGGGAAATCGAAAAAAAATCATTTCACTCGTGCATGGCATGAGTTAAGATACTAGTATATAATAAACAACGCATGGAGTACCTTTTTTTAAATTGAATGAAAATATATTTCCTAAAATTTTTGTCTAGTTTTAATTTTTTTTATATTGTAATAAATTTTAACTTTTGATATATAACTAAATAAAATATAAATTAAATTTTAGTTAGATCAAATAATATTTTAGAAATATTTTATTAAAAAAATTTAATAAAATTATTTTCCTTTTAAATATCTATTTACTTTTATTTAAAATCGATGTAAAATATCAAGTTTTTTCATTTCATTTTATTTAAAAATTAATATAGAAATAAAATATAAATTTACTTATTTAAGAAATACATGAGTAGTTATTCAAAATAAAATGTGTTAAAAATATTTTATTTTATCAAATAATCAATAAAAATGTACAAGTAAAAATTGGACACGTGACATTTTTCTTGGACATGTGACATTTTTCTTGCCCATGTCCAAAGTTTAATGGATTCTAAAGACCCGGGACTATATCACAACGAACCCTAGCTAAAATTGTTTCCTCTTATAAATAAGCCGAAAACCTCCCCAGCCACTGCAAGTTTGCAACACCATATCCTCTTTTCATCGGTTTTTTGCAGGCTTCAGCTCCCCACATCCACCACGGTTAGTTGTTCCTAATGTTATTATTATTATTTTGGATTTGTTGTTGTTATTGTGATAATTCTAAAACAAAAAACTGTTTTGATCTGTTGTCTTTCTGATTTCTATTCTTATTGCTAGCAATCTTATAAAGTATAATTCTTTTTTTTAATTGTATATTACCGAGTAGTGGCATAGAAATTTGCTTCTGGAGAGATTTCAAAACTGTGGCTCTGGAACCAAACGCATGGAGACAAAGTAATCTCTGTTTATTGCTCTCTACTTTCTGAATGTATTTGAGATTTTCTTTATGATGTGTTTGGGAACTTGAATTTGGATTTCAAATCTAGATTTAATCCAAATTACTTGTTTGGGAACTCAAAGAATTCCGATTTCTCTCCTCATATAATAAACCGTCTTTGCCGACTTCAATATTCAAATTCTAGAATTGTAATTCTATGACTCTCCAAACAACATTTGGAATATGAAATCATGAAATTTCAAATGTTGGGATTGAAATCTAAGATTTCAAATGAATTCTAGTTCATAAACACTACTTTGGTAAATTTGTTTAGAATTAGTTGTTGTCTGTCACAGTCACACACCATAGACATTGCCTGTGTCTCAAGGATTGTCCTACAAACATTGACCGTGTGTCTCTAGTGGTGCAATCCTTGGGTTTTAAGCTGCATTTCCCTATTTTATATTTAGTCATTGATAAATTGGTTGGCTATTGCAGTTTCAAACTTTATCTGTCGCTGTGGGTTTTGTTAAAATGGGGCTTGGAAATTCAAACTCTCTTAGGATTATCTTTATGGGGTCGGGAACTCGTGTTTAAACTATGTTTCACTTCTTCAAATGTTGCCACATAATATAAGATTGTGGCTTCATTGCTATGTGGACATTTGGAGGGTGAGATAACATTTTTGGGATGGAGCAGAGGGTTTGCTTTCATAGGGTCTGGCTAATTTGCTTTCCAACCTTGTAATGTCATACAGTGTTAACTGTGTATTTTGAACTGGATGATCAGATTGGAATTGGACGGGAACTCTTCAAGTAGCCAAGTTGATGCTGAAGTTCATGATGATGATGGTGCAGCCCCTGAACAAACAACAATGGAAAAAGTCAGTTTCCCAGTAGAAAACTGTGCTCGTTGCTACTTCAAAATTTTGTCTCTTTGCCAATTCTAGTGGGATTACATTATCAAATATTTTTGTTCTGAATTTTAGTTTACTATCAATCTTTTAAAAAATTAAAATTTTTGTTGGTTGTGTCATTCGATGGAAGAATTTAATTCCTTATGGGAGCATTTTTTTTACCTCTGCAGCTGCAAGAGAATGATGGCAATGGCATGCAGGGAGACACCAAAGAACAAAGCATCATGGCACCTAATTGGAAAAGGGAATTCCACGATGATGTAATGCTTTCGTACATCTTTGAAATATTTCCCCACTCATCATCATCTTCATTATTGTTAACAAAAGTAATTTTCTCAAGTTTATGTGTGTATACATGCATACACACACACACACACACACACACTAATATACATATAATGAGCAGTGGCATAGAAATGCGGTTCTGAAAAGATTACGTATGAGAGGCTCTCTACCGAAGCGCAGAAGGTTTCTCCATGCAATTGGCGTGAGAATAAGGTAAATCTCTCTTTCTTGCTTTCTTCTTTACTAATGTATTCGGGATTTTCTTTAGCCAAGTTCGCGTAGATTTAGTTGTGTAAAATCACACGACGATAGAAGATAAAGATTGACATTGGATTTTGTCTAATAGACTAGTCTAGCCGTGTCTCATAGCCAAAATGCATGTGAAATGGAACTTGTTTTTGATTTAAAAAAAGCTTGTTTTTTCTTTCTTGCTAACACTCTGATATAATTGCATTAAAATATGCTCAAGGGATTTGTTTCTGATATCATTGCAGGAAGTTATGCTCAAAGTGATGAATGACCACCCTGAGAAGGATGATTGTATTTATACTCCGTATCTATCTATTTTCGCCTTAACCAAATGAATGTCAAGGACGTGTATTGATGCAATGACCTTCCCTTTTTTAAAGTGTTTTGAAAAATTACAACAACAACAACCCAGTTGAATCCCACTACAGTAGGGTCTGGGGAGGGTGTGTGTACGCAGATTTGCCCCTACTCGAAAGTAGGGAGGCTGTTTCCAAGAGCCCTCCGGCTCAACCTGCACAAAAAATATGGTAGAGAACACAATATAACAGGATAACAAGATATAACAGGATATAACAAGATAAAGCACCAAGTACAATGAAATGAAAGTCCAGCAAGCAAAAGTAGAAGATACCAAACAAACACAACACACTACAAAAACCTCTACAGCACCGAGCTCCTAACCAGCTACTTTAATCCTAGTCCTCTAAAGGTTCCTATCTAAGCCCATATCCTCAGTCAGGGTGAGAAGTCCAAAATCCTGCCTAATCACCTCCTTCCAATTCTTCCTAGGTCTACCCCTTCCCCTACTTCCCCCGATAACCGTAATCCTCTCGCACCTCCGCACAGGGGCATCAACATCCCGCCGTCTCACATGCCCAAACCATCTCAACCTCGCTTCCCGCAACTTATCCTCCACAGGCGCCATGCCTACCTGACGTCGGATAACTTCGTTCGAAATCCTATCCAACCTTGTCTTCCCACACATCCATCTTAACATCCGCATCTCTGCCGCATGCAAACGACGCACATGAGTCTTCTTAACCGCCCAACACTCTGCCGCGTATAACATAGCAGGTCTGACTACGGATCGGTAGAAGAATGGAAAGTAGGACCCGCAAATCTTCGGGTCACACAACACCCCTGAGGCCAACCGCCATTTGGCCCAAGCCACTCCAACACGATGTCCAACATCCCCGTCTAATTCCCCATCTGCCTGGATTACCGAGCCAAGATATCGGAACCTGTCTACCTTAGGTACTACGTGAGAGTCAATCCTAACTTCCACTTCTGATTCTTCGTTTACCAATCTGAGATTAACTTGTTGAAACCTATGGAGGGAAATCTAATTTAAAAAGAAAAAATGGAACTCCCCTCAAATGTTTTAACAATAACAAGTCTTTCTTCATTGACCCTAAACATGTAAAAATAGAATCCTAGTGTTGTGCTGGATAGGTTTTATCCTAGACGTCTGAGTTTGAACACGATGGCCGTACATTGAGTTGGATATAGTTGTTTGCAATTGAGAGATTGTTTGTTAACTGTCTGGCATCGCAAAAGAAAACATTCCTAATGTGAAGTGTAGATGTACTAGGTGACCTGACCATAATCTTGAAGTGGTAGGATGACCAAATTTATGGGATGTTTCATTGTGTTGATGCTTATTTGTTTATCGTATTTAAATCATTTTTGACTTATAAATTGTTTATTAAAGTATATTGTTGTAAAATATTTTAATTGACAGATGTGTCATTTGGGGGTATTCATTAAGGGCTAAAAATGCTTTTATTTTGTTTGACATTTGAAAAATGATGTAGCGAACAAAAATTGGATATATATATATATATATATATATATATACACACACACACACACACACATATATATACATATATATATATATATATATATATATATATATATATATATATATATATATATATATATATATATATATATATATATATATATATATATATATATCGTAGCCAAACTTTGGATTTCGATACGAGAGTCATATGAGATTTATATGAGAGCTATTGTATTAGGTTTTTGAATTTTACTAATATATTAAAAGCTAGTTCCCGTCAAATTGTGTTATTTTGATACTCTAAATTCAATAACTACTATGCATATTGTATCCATAAAACTTGTGATGCAAAAGTCGAATTACCCATTCCAAACTCCCATTCACGACAATTACAAGTCTCCTTCATATCAAAGCTTTTTCAGTTATGCCATCACGTGCAAATTCAAGTGTAAAAAAAGCACATCAACAAAAAAAGGAAATGTGAAATCTAGTCAGAGTTCATATCTTTATCTTCTCCAGAGGTCGATGACAACGACGACTTCGTAAACCACGGAATCCAAACCGAAGTCGTCTTCTGGTAGAGTCTGTATGATTGAGCTCGGTCAGCGCGTTTGACCATTCGTCTCTCGACGAGAACAGTGACATAGCCCAAGCACAGAGTGTTAATGAGGGAGCCAAGGAAGGCCCAACCATGTCCCATACCCCAAGCAAACATCCCCAGCCCCCACCACCACAACTGCTCCCCGAAGTAGTTTGGGTGGCGGGAGTACTTCCAGAGACCCGTGTCGAGCACCATCTGTTGTTTTGGCCTTTCGTTCCTCCTGCTGACAAAGTTGTGGAGCTGCGTGTCGGCGTAATAGGCAATTGTGATGCCGGATGAACACATGGTTATGGCAACAAAGTCCCAGAAGTTCCACGGCTTGCTCTCTGAGTGGACGACGTACAGGGGCATGCATATTCCCATTATAAACACCTGCAAGGCCAAGCGGGGATCATCGAAGCTCATTAGAAGTGACCATTTGGAATTGTAAACCCCTCCTAATATTTCAAGAGTTTCTAAGTTGCAATGAGAGATGGTGATAAATGGGAATCATTTGAAATTGTTTCGCAAAACATAGAGTAGCCATTAGGAATTGTAAACTATTCAGAAGAAGAAAAAACCTTCTTAAGTTTGTTACTTCAAACACGAAAGGGTTGTGTACAAAAACTACATCAAACACGAAAATACGGCCAAAGAAACCACAATAATACGAATGAACAAGGTACAAGCATAGACAAAAGAAGCACACATACCAACTTCAACATTTAGACCCAAAGCACAGATAGCACACAAGCACAAGCTACAAACTAAGGCTCTATCCAACTTGTGAAATTTCATTGAGGCGTTCCATCGAACAGTTTGGATGCATAAAGAAAAAGATTAAGACACAATGCCCACCTGCTGAGACAGGTAAACGGCGAAGAAAGAGATCCACCACCAATTCTTGCCGTACTTGCGACCCATCTCAGTGAATCTCCAATCCTCCCTGGCGCCCCACAGCCACTTCTCGCGGCGGAAGTAGCTGTGAGTCAGCCTAATACTCCACGCCCACGTCAGCAGCACAGCCACCTGCGACCTACGGGCATTGTACTCCGCCGACGGGTGGCTCCGGTAGTAGTGCGCCAGCAACACCGGTATCACCGTCCAGTACAAATCAATCATCTGCACACCATTTCAGGAGGTCAAAAAAACCCCAATCAACATTTTGTAGTAAAAAAAAAAAATATGTTTTTTTTAATAAAAAAAACATCGGATCAGGAAATTCGTCGGAAAATTAAGGTTTTGGAATCGACCCAGTGGCTGGATTGGAGAAGGGCGATGATCCAGAAGAGGAGGTTGACATTGAAGAAGAAGAAGAGATGGGCAAGTAGGAGGGGGTGGCGGTAACACCATTGCCAGAGAGGTGATTCTTGACGGTAATGGCGGAGGAAATAGAGGTAGAATATGATTGAAGGGAGGGGAGACAATGCAGCTACCACCGCCTTCTTGAAATTGTTGTTGTGTGGAGGAGAAGTAGAACTAGAGCCCATTTCTACTTTCCTTTGTGTCACTCAAATTAATTTGCCTTTGTTGTTGCTAAAAAACTCAGCTTTGTTTGACCAAAGCTCTTTGATTCTTCATCAATCTCACATTCCCAAAATAAAATTTTCTTTGTTTTTTGTTTTTAAAAAATCAATTTTGTTTTTTGTTCAACAATAATAACTCTATTATATAATGTAATATATGTTGATTCATTCTCAACTCATTAAACATGTAGAGTCATTACCCGCATTCGCGCGATCGAATTTATAACTTCGAAAGTCAATATCATGACGCTAGACCATAACCAAATACGGAATATTTTTCGTAATATATGTAGATATAGTGAAACGGGGTAATCTATTTACAAAAGGAGTATTCTCCTTCCATCTCAAAAATATCTTTTGATTAAATTTAGTATAAAGTTTTATAAAAGTGAAACAGCGAGGTTGAAAGTGATGCAAAAAATAAATAAGATGTTGGGCCACAGAAAAGTTGTCAAATATGGAAAAAGATCTCTTTTTGAAAGGCATTTTAAAAAAGAAATAACGAGTCTTTTTTGGGACCGAGTGAGTATGTGTTTGGTTATTATGTTTTACTATTTTGAAAATATTATTTAATGAAAATTTTTTTTATGAACCTAAGATTCATTTATAAACATTTTGAGTTTTTTTAAAAAATGAATAAATAATTTTTTTGTAAAAAGATAAATAATGATAGATCGAATGTTCACGATGAATCTTCTTACATAAATAAATTAATAAATTCAAAAAATAAATGCATATTTATATATTCTCCCGTCCTTAAGAGATCACCATAGTTTGAAAAAATGATAAAATAAAATATTTTTATCATTTTTAAACTTGCACAAACTTCAAATTAAATTTTGAATATGTAATTTTCATTTTTTATATTAATTTTTTAATAAAATTGAAATTTTTTAAAAAGTAATCTTACAAAAATAAATCAGATGGGTTTTCTTCCTCCGGCACTACAAAAAAACTCCGCCCTCTCTTCCCTGGCAAAAGCTCAATCTGCGTCTGTTCGTCGGAGGAAAGAAGCGGCAGCAAATCAATCCAATTTCACGATCTGCCCAGCCGCCGGAGAAGAGGTTCTCAAAATCAGCTACTGGTCAGGTATTTCGTTCATCAACGCATCTGATCTGCTTTTATCCCTTATTACCGCGTGCGAATTCAACGTGATGAAGTGAAATTGAATTATTTGCGACATATTTCGTGATTCATCTCCATTGGAGCCTCAAGATTTACTCTTTCAACAGGATGAAGTGAAATTGAGTTATATGCGCCAATATTCTCTCAAATAGGAGTAATTTATGTATTTCTAATGTGACTTTCATATATAGAATTTACCCCAGCTTCTGCAGTCGAATCGAATCGTAAATGCAGACGAAGAGCTTCACTCTGTTGCAAACAGTTTCCACTGCAGGCGTATTCTCTGCTGTTTCTTTTTGGTGATTACTTCTTCTTTCTATTATTTTGCTTGAATTTCTATCTTCAAAATATGTTTTTATTAATCCGATCTACACAGGTACGGGTTCATGTTCGGCAGAGAGTCAGCTCGCCAAGAGCTTGGAGGCTTAATCGACAGTCTCCGCCGCAACAATTCTGATTCTGATTCGAGTTCATCTCCTCCTCAACATACATGAGTTTGCTGGTAATGCTGATCAATTTATCTCTTTGTACTATGATCTATGAATTGAGATGAATGATTCTTTGTAGTTTTGCAATTTGAACAATTGTAATGATTTTCCCAGACCCTACTGTAGTGGGATTCAACTGGGTTGTTGTTGTTGTTGTAATGATTTATTAGAGTCAATGAACATGGTGCCTTCAACTCTTTTTGATAAATGAATTCAGAATTTCTTTGGGCAATTAATGAGTTCACTCCAAGCTTTTGGATGTGTGATTTTTAACTCCACATTTAAGGGTTGCCTTATCATAGCATGGAATTCTCCCATTTGTAGGGAAGAGTTTCAGGCAATTTTGTTCAAAGGGTGTAGGAATGAATGTAACTTGTGACTTCTAAATTCTAATACTCTCTCCATCCCCTTTTCCTTTTTTGGAGGCTCTAATTAATGGTTCTCTTTTCTTGTGAGGGATGAATTATGTTGTATATGTTGATTTTCTCCTTTCCAAGTATATCTTTTTCATTTTACGTTGTATCTAATTTCCGTGTAAAAAGCAAATATGAACATAAGTGTTAGGTTTTATGAAGGAGAGAGTGAGAGAGAGAGAGGGGTTAATGAGCTTAGTGTATAAGTAAAATATACCCCAGTAAGTGTAAATATTTCAAAACAACCTGAGAATATTTAATTGGGTGATTCATCTCCAATTACATGTGTTTTAACTGCATCTTATGTGCACCAGTCCTAATGCAGAAAAGATATTTGGATTGAAGAACGGGAGGCTAAAGGTTTCTGGGCGTCCACAAAGCACTCTGTTACATTAAGGAACATAGTTTTGGAAATTGTATGATTAAGTCAGACTGTGAAGAAGCAATTTTGGCTCTATAACAAGTTCGTGATCATTCTTGTGTTGTCCGTACGGGTATTCTTTTACTTCTAAGCTAAGTTCAGTAGCTCACCAACGTCTGTCTCCTACATAGAACCAATTACGTGACATTTTTTATAACTTTGTTTTATGTTTTCATTTTGCTTTTTAAATGAAGATTGGATAAAATAAAAGTGTGTGATTGAAATATACTTCTATAAGTGTATAGACCACAAAATCTTTTCTTCCAATTGGGAAGGATTAGTTAGGGACCCTCAAAAAGGAAAAAGAATTGAGTATAAGAATTCAGATGTTACATTTTTCCTACCCCTTTAATTAAAAAACAAAAGACTAACTCTTCCTTGAGAATTTGAGAATTTCATGCTAATAAGGCAAGCATTAACTGTGGAGTTAGAAAAAAAGACATCCAAAAACTGGGAGATTCCTAAATTCATTTATCAAAACAAAAATGCTTGGAGATTCCTAAATTCCAAAAATTGAGTAAGCTTCGGCGTCAATTTGGTGCCAAATGCTTGATGTCCCTCTAACACCGCTCTCTTATTAAAAAAAAGTGTTTAAAAAAACATTTATCACAATTCATACAACAAATTCATGTATGCTGAGGAAATGAAATCAAATCAAAATCTAAATTGATGCAGTGAGGGCTGTGTACGAATAATTATTTTTGAGTAAATTTTTTAAATGTTTAAATATTACGGAGTACTACGTAATTACTAGTTACTGTGGGGTTTTTTCAAAATTAACGTCCGTGATAAAAATAATTTTTAGATAGGAAATTTTCAAGCAGGCTAATAGTTTTTTACAGTACTAAATACTCCAGTAATATTTTGAGGCGAATGAATTATTATCTTGCATGGTGGCACACCGTTTCTCCTAGCGCCCTAGAATTGATTGTAAAAAGACATTCTCTTGTAAAATGGATGTTACAACGTTCTGGCACTTCATGAATTTAGCATTTTTTGAAGAACGGAAAAAACAACTTATGGTTATGGATGTAAATATTGCATATCTCTACGAGGATCTTGATACAAATATATACTTTCCCTGTTCCTAAAAGAATTTTGTTTATTCATCATTATTTTTTCATTATTCATTTAATTAAATATTTTTCAGAGTAATTCCTTTTATGTAGAGTATGTTTTATATAAAAAAAATTGCAACTTTAATATAAATTGAATTGAAAAGAACTTCAACCAAATATTACAATCCACGAAAAGAAAATCTAAAATAAAAAAGAGTATATGTTCTTTCCAACTTATTCTTACTGGAATCAATTTAAATCATAAACTTTAAATTAACAAAAAACAAATCAAAACAGACCACCTTAATAAAATTAGATTAAATATAAGACAAACACAGAAAACCTTCAAAGAAAGGATAAAAGAACGATGAAATATGCCCTATATATATTCACAAAGAAAACAAGCTTCAAACTCGCAGTTGTAGCTGTCTACGTAGAAGACATGAACATAATATGACTCTTGATAGACTACAAACTGACAAACTACTTGAAATCTTAATGATGAAAGATCTAGGAAAAACACAATTCTGTTTAGATACAACAAAGCAATTGGCAGGAATTATAATAATATCAAGAAACTAGAATTTGATGAGTAGCCAAAAACAGCAAACTTTAAACATTGATAATTTAAATATAAAAAAAAACAAACCAAACCAAACCACACTGGCTGCAGATTACAAATACAGACTGCAAACAAGACTCTAAAGTAATAAGCTTTTGGCAAGATGAATGCCAAAAGAAGCACTACCTATACATCCCACACGACCACCATCGCTAAGATTTTTTCTTACAAAAAAGTTAGGTCAACAACTTCGATTGCTTTTTTAGTTTCTTTCGTTACTAGTTTCTTAGCAGAGAGGGGTCATAGCTATGTCAGAACTCAGAACGAAAGCAAATCACATCTATATGTTTTTTTTGTTTGTTTGTTGGTTCATCTCTTGACATACTTTTAAGGTTACCAACCATAGCACACTAAAAATTTTACAATAGACCTCTGAAGGCGTAAAAGAATACCATAGCAGGAGCCGATTTACACAGAGCTGCTTATTGCGTGGTGCGTGTTACCCTACTACTTCTTGCCATCCCACTCCTGCAAACACCAAGGCATTAATTTTTTCAGTCTAAACAAATGCTGTCATACAAAATAAAATTAAAACAATGTCATGACACTTGGTAATAATGTTACTCCCTCCGTTTGGAATGAAGAAGTCCTATTTTAAAACATTTCCGTCTCAAAAATGAGTTTTATTTTGACAAAAGAACGTGGTTTCAATGAATTTAACATTCAACTTATATTTCTAAATGGACTTGTTTGTTGGGTTTTATAAATAAGTATTACTGTGATGAAAGAGAACACTTTTTGGACAGAGGGAGTGGCTGGAAAAGGTTTAGCTCAGAGACACCCTGTTGGCATTGCATATGAACGGAAACCAACAAAAGTGCTAATCTCAAATCAATAGATACTGAATGGCTTGAGGGGTAGGGAAGTTAGTAAACTAGAGATCCGAAAAGTGGTCAATCTTTGTTTGGGTTGGAGTCATTGGGTAAGTCTAGTACTCCCTCCGTCCCTTAATTTTCTTCCTTGTTTGACTTGGCACAATTTTTAAAAAACTGGAATGTGTGTCGTTATGATTTGTGTAGAGGAAAGAGAAAAAATAGGGGCCACACAATCATTTCCTTAAAAGGAAAGTGGAAGAAAATTTTGGGACAACCCAAAAAGGAAAGTGAGAAGATAATTATGCAACGGAGGGAGAAAATGAGAGGGAGGGAATTATATGCCATTATGGAGCTCTATTGTTGGGATTGCAATGGAAATGAAGGATAATATATACTCCTTCCATCCCACTATTTTTCAGACATGAAGGAGTGCCATGGAGATTAAGAAAAATAATACTGTGCAGTTAAAAAGTAAGACAAAGTAAAAATGAATGTGAACCACAAATATGACCAAATATGGTGTGATTTATGAATAAAAATAATGAGAGAGAGAGAGAAAGAGTAAGAAGGGACACAAATAGTAGGGTGGAGGGAGTAACTTTCATGAAAAAAATAAGGCACTTGCAGAGAACAATGCTTCACTGCATCATATCTCCTTTTCATCAACCATACCACCATAACCCCAATTCTATTTTCTAAGCACCTCACAGATACCTTGAAAAAAATATAAGCATGCTGCAATCCCACCCAAAAAATAATAATTCTTTTTTTATTGTATGACATAATCCTTTTTTAATATTCTAGACTTAACAGATAAATCAGCATACAACACGCATGAATGCTAAAAATTATTGGAATTAGCATGATATGAATGTTGAAAAAACGGAGTACAACTTAAAAGATCATACCTCCCAGGAATCAGCTGAGAGCTAATGACAGGGGCCTTTGAACTTCCAAGTCGCTTGGCCCTATTCTCTTGATCCTTCTCCACTCGCATCGCAGAAACTTCTTTTTCCATTGCGGCAACCTCCCTTCTCATCTTTTTGGCCTCAACTTCCATAGCTTTTGTTAGTGTCTCTACTTTCTTAGCTAACATCTGAACAGTAATAAAGAAGCAAACTTAGCCAAAAAACAAAAAATAAAACATAGTTAATATCTGATTTCTGATTAGTCTTTAGACTTTACTTCTCAAATTGATCATCAACTATGCAATTTAGATTCCATTTAGTCATATGGCATAGTCCGCATTTATTAAGAATGGCATTTGATACTGTGAGGAACGAGGATTATATCTGGTCCAAACTTCATAATTGAGAACCAAGTTCAATTCCATATCGAATCTAAATTTAGTGAACAGACAAAAATATCCCTTTTCAAAACTAATAATGTGTGATGCCTAAATTGGGTCCAAATCATGTAGTATAAGTGTAGAACTATAGGACTATATCAAATAAAAAAAGTTAAGGACAAAATTGAAAAATAGTGTACAGCTGACGCTACTGGGTATTAACTCAAAAGCATATACTCCCTTCGTCCCAAAATAAACTTTACTCTTCCCCTGTTTCCTATTAAGGGATGAAACATATGGCTCACAAGTTTTCTCTCCCCTCTGAACATTTCAACATTTCAACTCCTTGAAATCAAGCCACGAAGTTTATTTCGGGACGGATGGAGTATAAGAAGTTATAGGTTGAGTGTGGAAGATACCTCGATTGCATCGTCCTTGTCTTTTAGACTTTGATCCTTTTCATGACAAGCTTTTCTCATAGAAACCACCTCCTTCTGTAGCAAGTCATATAATATTCCAGGGACAGTATCCTCAGTTTCTCTTACTTGCAAGTCATTAGGTTTTTCATCTTGATTTCCTTGCCATGCTTTTTCAGTTGTGGAATCCTTAGCTCCATCACAAGACTGAGTGAGCTTAAAATTTGGACCAGTACCTGTAAGAAGGCTTTTGCTCCGGTCCAATGATCTTGAGCCACCATCAAATGACTTTGATGTCCCTTTTGCATGCTTCAGCACAGTACTCATCCCAGAAGACCTTGGATGTAGGGTTGGTGATCGTTTGGGCAAAAAGCCATTAGAAGCCAATCTTGCAATATTTTCTGCTCCACCTAGTGATTGCCGGCGTGAAGCACCATTGCTTGAACTTCTCCCATCAGGCGTGCCACGAGCAGTTGTGCTAGAGGACCTCAATGTATCTTCTAGAACTCTAAGCCTTAATTGATATTTTTCCTAAGGAAAATAGT